TGTCCACCCTGACTTCCTCGTTGTTGTCCTTAACCACTGTGTTTACGCCTCCATTTGTCTGAGGAAATGATATTTTCTCTGGCGTTTGTTTGTTACAGGGATGATGCAAGACCAGATGTGTAGAGGGTGGTATTGACTAGATGTGTAGAGGGTGGTGTTGACTAGATGTGTACAGGGTGGTGTTGACTAGATGTGTAGAGGGTGGTATTGACCAGATGTGTAGAGGGTGGTCTTGACCAGATGTGTAGAGGGTGGTGTTGACTAGATGTGTAGAGGGTGGTGTTGACTAGATGTGTAGAGGGTGGTGTTGACTAGATGTGTAGAGGGTGGTATTGACCAGATGTGTAGAGGGTGATATTGACTAGATGTGTAGAGGGTGGTATTGACCAGATGTGTAGAGGGTGGTGTTGACTAGATGCATAACAGACATGCAATAAATGTTTTCTTTCCATGTAGCAGGCAGATATATTGCCAGTATGATAATTTAAATAAAACCTGTAAAATTTTGTTTGGAATACAGTGTGTTTCATATGAATAAAGAGAGTGAGACTTATATTGTTGGACCAAATTTTTGTATGTGACTTTGGGGTGAGAGGTCTAGTCCAAGAGAGGAGCAGAACTAGGAAGCCAGGGAATCAAAGAAATGGAATTCAACGGCAAAGCCCAGACTGGAAACCAGCCAGTTAAAGAATTCTTCAGAAAAGCTGGTTTGGTGCTGGGGAATTCCAGAGCAGAACAAGGTCTGGACTGGGTGGCAGGAATGAATGCCCCAAGCATTTCTTGGAGCTCGTCCTGAAGTTACTGGGTCTTCAGTGGGCACAGAGGGCTCTTTTGAGGATACTTTGCCAGCTGTAATCTTGTAGAACATTCTTCTGGCCCTGTTTTGGAAATCCCCAAATTAATAAGGAACATTTGGTCCTTAGTATGCAATACCCAAGGGAATAAATGGGTCTAGCTAAGTGTTTACATTTCAGATAGCCAAGAATCTAAATGAGGGAATTGTCTTTGGGACCTTGGTTAAAGCTTGTTCCCTGGTGTGTCCTGCTTTCTGGACCCTGCTCTGTAGACGGCTCTGTAGACTGTCCACCATTCTTTTGAACACCCTTCAATGTCTAGCTTACATCCCCGTTCCTGCCATGACACCACCAGCCCTCTGTGTCCTGTGCCTAATAATTGCTCCATATAACTTAGAAAGCTTATCAATTTTGATGCAGGAGTATGTGTGGAGACTATTGAAAGATGATTAGTTCAAAGTATGGGTTGTGCATATTTGGTGTGTGTGTGTGTGTGTGTGTGTGTGTGTGTGTGTGTTGTATGCTAGTGTAGAAACCAGCAAAGAGAAGAACCTTATTAAAACAGTATCTGTGTAGAAGTTGGTGAAGTTAAAGTAGGAAGGTTAGGTCCAGGTCGTGTATGACCTTTCAAACTAAGGAGAATATCATCATCTAAATCAAGATTTGATTGGTAGTCTAGAGCAGTTGTCAGTTCATACATGGAAGACTGACTCTTGGTGAGGTAGCCACTGACCCAGACCTGCCTGCCTTCTGTGGCCTTCATTCGCTAGCCCAGGAAGAAGCCTTGTTGAGCTAGTGTCTAGTGTACTAGTATTTCAGTGCACTTGATAGAACACAACACACGTTCCTGTCTTGACCTGCACTTCATTTCTCCCTGTCTCTCCTGCCTACTGAATTCTTACTGGAGAGTTGACCTGCCTTAGACTGCAGCCTTTTCCTGAAGCCAGCCCTTCAGCAGAGCAGAAAATGCAAGGAACTGAAAGTCACCCTAAGTGACTTTCTCAGCTTCTGTGTGTAACTCCAACATATTCTTGAAACACACACACACACACACACACACACACACACACACACACACACACACACACACACACAATGTCTTTTGCTTTAGTTTTTTAAAAAATTTTCTTGTCTACTTACTGTGAGCTAGATTAGCCCGTATATACTCTTCCTGTTTTTCAATGACAGAGTACTCAAAGAGTGTTGCAGTCCAATCTGTAACTATATCGTTAGCACTTAAATAATTGCTTTTGCTTTGAACAGTCTGGAGTTCAGTTTTTGATTGGGAAATGAAAGATTTTGCCAAGTTAGGGTTTTTTTTAATGGTTATTTCTATACCTGTGTGTCAGCGTGTACATGTGAGTGTAGATGCTTTTGGAGGTCAGAAGAAGGTGTTGAGTCCTCTGGAGCTGGAGGATTTGGGGCCACCCAACATGGGTGCTGGGAACTGAACTCGGGTCCTCTTACAAGAGCAGTACCTGTTCTTAACTGTTGAGCCATCTCTCAAGCCACCAAGTTAGCAATGATAATATAAGCTAAAGAAATCGCTACCTGTGGCTGCGAATGTCGCTTACTGGAAAAGTATTGACCTGGTACGTGCATGCAAGGCCCTGGGTTCTGTCCCCAGTGCAGCCAACGGAGGACTTCATCTTGAAAATGATAGACTAGGAAGCAACTTTGGTCCTTAAAATATAAAAATGAGTATGTATATACGTGTATACATACATGTTTAAAAGTGGAGAGTAAAAGGTCAGGTACCTTTATTCATTGCTCAGATTCAACACTTATCAGAATTTGCTGCAGATGCTTTGTGCCTTTGCATGGTAGTTGTTGAAGTATTAAAATATTAATCTTGGTTTGTGAATTTTACTCCCAGGCCTTTCTGTATGTGTCTCTAAAAATGTGTGGACACTTTTCCTTGTGTCTCAATGCCATGGTTACATCCTTGATGTCGGCTATATCTAGACCATGCATAAATTTTTATATTACTTGGTAGTATCGTTCTTACATTTTATTTGTTCTAATCAGGGTGTGTTTGTTTTTGTTTTTGTTTTTTGAGACAGTAGTTTTCTCCATGTAGTTTTGGTGCCTGTCCTGGGTCTCGCTCTGCAGGTTAGGCTGGTCTCGAACTCATAGAGCTCTGCCTGGCTCTGCCTCCCTAGTGCTGGGACTAAAGGTGTGCGCCGCCCAGCCTAATGGAGGTCTAAACCAGGTTGTCACAGTAGAGTTTGTTGCTAAGCCTTTGGTTCTTAATCTCTTCATTCAGAATTTTTTTTTTACACCTAACTACTGGGGATTGAACCTAGGGCCTTGAACATGGCAAGCAAACTCTATGTCAACTGAGCTACATCCCCAGCCAGTGGTTTAAACTTGTGAGAGTTTTGGTGACTGAGGGACACAGGTGGGAAGAAGCAAGGGTGGGCAGATGGATTTTAATCCATTCTGTGAGGAAATCCTTAAAATCTCAGCCTGCTGAGTATATGGGCTTTGAGTCTAATGTTTAGGAACGACGTGCTTCCATTCATGTCAAGGCTTACAGTGGCACAGTTTTAAGTGGTGTTAGTTCCGTATTTAAGTCAATGTGGAACATTTACCTAAATTTCAGTTGCTGTCTGGAATGTTTCGTCAGAAATGGAAGTTCCCTGTTTTGCAACAGGATCAAGAAAAAAGACAAATCCCAAATGTGTGTCTAAGGTGCAACTCCTGCCCTAGATTACAGCCAGTTATCTTTCTGGTGATTGGTTTCTTCTACTTACAATAGAAGCATTTTTTCCAACTTGATATCTGTTAATTTCAGTTAAGCAGATCTTGGTCTTTAATTCCTACTTGGGAAGGCTGAGTCAGGGGATTGCCCAATTCTAGGCCTGCATGGGCAACTTATGGAGACTTTTTTCTCAAAATAAAAACCAGACAGGACTGGGGGTCTAGCTTAGCAGTAGAACCTTTACCTGACCTGCATAGCACTTCCCTTCGGTCGAGCTGCCCTTTTTCAAGGTGACTGTCTCCCTGCCCTTGAGCATGCTGCTGCTTCAGCTAATGCCGGTACAGTAGAGCCAGTGCGGCAGTCAGCAGGTCTCCTAAACACTGACATGACAGCCTGTCCTCAGATCCCACAAGGGAGCAGGAGAGAAGGGGCTCCTGAGAGAGGTCCTCGGACCTCTATGCCATGGCGTTCCTGCCTGTTTGTGTGTGCACATACACATGCACACATGTATACACATGTACATACACACGCTTACACACACATGCATTCATACATACACACACTTATACACACATGCATACATGCATGCACACATACAATTTTAAGAACATCCTCTGATATAGTGTTCAAATAAACTTTTAACATGTTTTGCCTCTTCCCAGATAAATTTCATTCTTAATATTCTACAGATTAGAAAACAATATTATTTGTAAGAAGCCACATTTTAAGTAAAATGAAAGTAATTATTAAGATGTTAAGTTTAAATTCATTCATTTACTTTATGTGTAATCTATAAATAAAAGTCAATTACAGAAAACTATACTATGTATGATGTTTTTGTTGGAAACCTTGAGTTTCCCAGTATAGATATCTGTTCGAGCTCTGTGAGCCTTCTTCAGACCATTGGGGTATGGAGGCAAGCCTATGTGATCAAGCTGACTTGTAGATAAGATCGGGCTTTACACACACGATTTGTAGTAAGTAGAACCCTTAATGGCTTCAAGTCCCAAGGCACATAGTAAAGAGGGGTTTTAGCTACTTTCTTGTTGCTGTGATGAAACTTCCTGAAGAAAGCAGCCTGAGGGAGAGGGTTTATTCTGGTTCATGGTGCAGTCATCATGACAGAGAAGTCCAGGCATTGGGAGCTGGAAGTCGCTGGACCCATAGCCAGAAAGAAGAGGTGAATGCCTCTGCTCAGCTCACCCTCTCCTTAGAAAGTCCACCCACAGTTGCTGGCGCTTTTTACCTCAGCTAAAGATGATCCCCCACAGGCACGCCCCAAAGCTTGTCTCTGGGGTGACTTTGATCTCACCAGGCTGATGTCAAGAGTAACGTATAATAGTTATATAATCATAGGTTAAAAGTAAAGTAAGACACTTTTTAGTTTGCCTTCTCAACTTAATATGTTTATTATTCGTGACGGTGTTAATGGACATCATTAGTTTGCACTTTGACCTCTTAGAACCTAACCCTTCCAAACATTTGTCCTTCATCCCTTTTAGGTGCTCTAATGTGAGTCTGCAGAAGCTGCCGGAGTGGTGGTTGTGCAGTGTGTTGGATGACATTAAAAGCAGCGATCCCTCCTCCAAACTCTGTGCCACAAGGCGCAGTGCTGGAATCCCTTTCTACATACAGGTACCCACCTGAGACCACCACCCTGGTCTCTCTGTGCTTTGAAACTGCCTTTTCACCTCCTTAATATGTGAGGAAATGTACAGAAACATTAGGATGTTTCCGTCTTCTCCCTACCACGGCCTTTGCGACTTGGTTATTTTTAATTTTTATTACATTTATTTATGTGTGCACATGTACATAGGCATACACATGGTATGGCTCACATGTGGAGATCAGAAGACAACTTGTTGGAGTTGGTTCTCTCTTCCCATCATGTAGACCCCAGGGATTGAATTTAGGATGTTAGCATTTGGTGGCAAGCACCTTTACTGACTGTGCCTGCCATCTCTCCGTCTCCTATGTGACTTTGTTTTAATGTGTGGACAGTATGTTCTGTGTCAGATCTGTTCTTGGATCAGGAGGTCAGTCCTGTAGTATAAACAGAGGGCAGTATAGATTTCCATCTGTGTATTCAGTAGTCAGAAATCATTGTGGCACAGCGATTGCTTACTTCTAGGAAGTACCCATATTGAGTCCTTCTATAACATATCCATCATAAAAATCATAATCTTAATAGTTCACATTTAGTGGTGATTATATCACATCTGTTACTTCATTTGAACCCTGCCTAAACCCTATGAGATAGGTACGGTTATCATATGAATATGTCCTAAGTGAAGAGACTGGGGACTGAGGAAGTGACCTGCCAAAGGCCATGGGGATGTAAAACTTCCCAAAGCTTAAGCTCAGTCCATCTGACTCTTGACCACGTTTTCATGAGAGACTATGTGTGAGTACAGTTCCTGAACACAGATGGGAACATGCTGGACACTTGCTTTTTAAAACAACTTTACCTTACAACCTGCTCATATCCCCATACGCTGTTAGTGCTGCTGACGGGATAGAGAATAAGAGACTATCACTTCATTATCTCAAAGAGTAAACACCAATACCCTCGCAGTACTAAATCAGATTCCATCCTTGTTTATAGTAAGACAAACCCCATGAATTGGGTAGTGTAATAAGCACCGTGGAAGTAAATAAAGTAACCCCTACAGTTTTTTCTTTTTCTCTTTCATTTCTCTCTCTCTCTCTCTCCCTCTCTCTCTCTCTCTCTCTCTCTCTCTCTCTCTCTCTCTCTCTCTCTCAAGTAATTTGTTTATTCTTATTTTATGTGCATTGGTGTTTTGACTGCATGTATGTCTGTGTGAAGGTGTCAGATCTTGGAATTACTTACAGGCAGTTGTGAGCTGCCATGTGGATGCTGGGAATTGAACCCTGGGTCCTCCGGAAGAGCAGCCAGTGCTCTTAACCGCTGAGCCATCTCTCCAGCCCTTATTTTTTTTCTCTTATTCCTAGTCTCCTCATGACTTTTTGAGGCCAGTGGGGGGCACCAATTGCAGAAGTGATTGACTGAGGTCACTGGGCAGCCCTGAGAAGTGAGCTTTCTATGTGATCCCAGCCACTTTTCTGTAATGAGTCTTTCCCTGTCCTACCTGCTCCCAACTAATAACATGGAGACTCCTTATTAATTATGAAAGCTTGGCCTTAACTTAGGCTTATTTCTAGCTCCTAGAACGTAAACGAATCCATTTCTATTACTCTATAATGCTGTCATGTGGCTTGTGGCTTTTACCTCTCCTCCTGCATGTCCTGTTTCCACTGTATCCAGCTGGTGACTCCCCCTTTCTTCTTTGGAGAGTTCTCTTTGTCCAGAAGTCCCGCCTGTACCTCCTGTCTAGCTAAGTGTGATTGATTTAGTTTCTGACTTGCGGTTCCTTCTGACCTGCTGTGGTTATGTGACCTTCTTTTCTGAGGACAAATGTCAGGTAGTTGAGGATCCTGCCCAGTGTTTGTGTTATGTGCTGGGATATTCACTTTGTGCTACCAAGTGGTCATAGTTATAGAGTGACCACCAAGTCCATTTCCTAAGCCCAGACTTAGCAGGCAACGTTGCGATACTTTTGCCCAGTTCTTTGAGGCAAGGTGAGTTGAGTCATGTTTCTGGGAAGAACACCTCTCAGTAATTGAGTGTAGCTTTCTTATTTATGTTAGTGGAATAAAGTTTTAATTATCAGAGAAATCTGCTCAAAGAGGGTCCTGTTTTTCTTAGGATGATGTACCATAAAGTAATACTCTTTTGTTCTGCTGACAGCTGCAGTTTAAAGGTAGCTGTGATGAAAAACTACCATTTTAGTGTATGCATTTACCCTTTGTATAAACAGACACTTTTAAAATATTCTTAAAGCATATTTTCTGAGCATAGATATATTGTGATGAATTATTTTAAGTCTGTTTATATGTTTGTCTTCTATATTCTTACTGCATAGCTTGTCATGGATAGAAAATGCAGACTAGTTGCAAACTTTGGCTCTAGGGAACCAGAAGCTACATTTTACAAGATGTAGATGTGGAGGACAAGAGTTCAAGAATGTAGCTGAAGTGGTTTTTCTTTGACAACTTTGTGGAGATAAAATTGACTTGTGACAACAGTTTATGCATTTAATGTGTACAGTACAGTGATTTTCAGTATATTCTCAGAGCTCGATAACCATTAGCACAATCTAATTTTAGAATATCTCCTAACCCTCACCCATTAGCCCTTACTCCCCATTCCACCCACCTCTGCTGCTCTCAGTCCTTGGCAACCACTAATCTTTCTGTCTGTGGATGTGCGTGTGCTGAACAGTTCATGTAAATGGAATCATACGATATTCAGTCTTTTGTGTCTGGCTTCTTTGACTTAGCAGTACATTTTCAGGACTCATTCATGTTATCACAGATATATACATATATATATATATATATGTGTGTGTGTGTGTATACATATATATGTATATGTATACATATATATAATCAGTACTTCATTTCTTTTTATTATATTGTCTTAAGTGGGCTGATAGACCATTATTTTGTTTATTGGATGCTAGTCACAAAGTAAATAAGTGGCTTCTTTGAAATCCAAGTGCAAAATCCCTTTGGAGTTTGTAATGCTTCTTGTTATCCTATGGAGTTTCAAATGCTGTGGTACAATTAGACTTTCAGGAGACTCTTCTGTCAAGAATGAAATTGTTGATCAATATCTAAAGGGCCTGAAAACCTTTAGAAGAAATCTAATGCAGAATGTTTTCGTAACAGTTTAAATAAGGAAAATTTTCTTGTTTGATCAATTTGTTTCTGGAAGTGCCTTGTTTATTGTATCTGCTGTTTTACCTGATTTGGTCCTTACAAGGTGGGTTATCCAAGTCATTTATTCATTAGCCGCTTATAAGTATATACACATTAAGCAAACAGAAGAGTCTGTGGAGTTGACATGATTTCACCTTAGCCTAATTTTATTACATGAACAAGGAAGAGAAGTTAAGCTACCTGGTTCAAGCAGCCTGACTTAATTAACTTCCCTTGTAGTCTTGTTTTTATAGAGGGTATTTTCAATTTGGGGATTAATTCCAACCGACAAATAGGTGTATGCAAAACCAAAGCCCATTGATTTTGGTATTTTCCCCCCACAGGCACTGTTGGCATCTGAACCAAAGAAGGGCAGATTGGACTTGTTGAAAAGAACAATGGGAGAGCTGATCTCTTTGGCTTTGTCTGTAGATACCTCAAAGGGCGCAGTCCCCCAGGTAAGGATGGAAGTGCACTCATGTGCTGGAGGGCAGAGCAGTCAGGGCTCTGCTGGGTATCTAGTTTTCAAAAGTGTCTGCTGAAGACAGAGAGCTCCTGAAGAGAGGAATGGGAAGTGTTTAGGAGGTTTGCTGTTAGTTTCGCTTTTTTGGTCTTTCCTATCCACAAAATAAACTTGCTTTGGTTGATAGGTATTGATGAAAGTGAATGATTTTTAAACTCTGTTGAAAACATTCAGTTGATAAGATATTTTATACTGTTACTATTGCGTCGAAAAATTTGAAACTGAGTATGTGGTCACACGAGTTTCATGTGTGCTTCTTGAGTTGATGTACATTTTGTAGTTGAGCAGTTGAATGTCTCTTTAAAATGTGATGTCTTATTTTTAGTATGTTTATATTTTAATTTTAAGCAATGTTTTAATTTTTTATAGTCACTGTATATATGTAGTTGGGTCAAACACTCCTCATAGCTGTATTCTGCTACTAGGTAGTAAATAATATGTGTACCTTGTCTTCTAGATTTCCTTGCTAAATACTTCTTAGTAAGATGTTACTGTGGAAGGCCCATGCTCAGTTAGGGAACAGAGCTAAAGTTTATAGAAAAGAAAAGTAAGTTTACTTGGTTTTAAGTCATAAGTGGTATCAGGTGCCATGGGCCATAATATGGGCCGACTGGGAGAAAGTATGCTGCTTGTTAACATACACATAGTGGCCAATTGCTGTGAGAGAGTTCTTTGGGGAAAGTAACTAACATATTATTAATCATTTTTCTAAAAAGACCGTGTCAAGACATTTTTCATTGAAATATGAGAACTATAACTACTTATATTTTTTAGGTGGCCACTTTGAAAAAGGCCTGAGTTGACAGGAACTTTGACAAGTAATGAGGTTCTTTGGCATCAATAACATTGCTTGCCGGGCGGTGGTGGCGCACGCCTTTGATCCCAGCACCCAGGAGGCAGAGCCAGGCGGATCTCTGTGAGTTTGAGGCCAGCCTGGTCTACAGAGTGAGATCCAGGACAGGCACCAAAACTACACAGAGAAACCCTGTCTCGAAAAACCAAAATAATAATAATAATAATAATAATAATAATAATAATAATAATATTGCTTATTTGTGACTTCTTTCTTTCTGCCTTGTTAGAGTTTTGAAAAATGTGATTTTAAAAGTCAGCTTTTATTCTTGGGATGTAGATCAGTGACTCAGCACTCTACTAGTGTGTGCAAGATTTGGAACTGGTCTTCATCACCACAAAGGTGACGATGATCTTAGTTGTATTTTTGCTGTTTAAAACAACTTTATTTTATTTTTGTTGTGAGTATTCTTTTTCTAACAGGTTAAATGGACACCTAACGTTTGTTTGTTTAGTATTTTTAAATAAGGTCATTGAAGATGTGCATTTAAAAGGTTTTGTTTGTTTGTTTTGGCCTCCAACTCACAGAGATCCACCTGCCTCTGTCTCCCCAGTGCTGGGATTAAAGACATTAGACCCCACTGCCTGGCTTACATTTCTTTTCTTAAGAATCAGTTAAAGTACACTTAACAATTACAGTGTCAATGTCAATGTCTAGAAGCCTTGGTAATACTCAACTATAAATAATAAAAAATTGGATCATTACTTAAAATTTTTAATAATTATTTACATTATGTGTATGCATGTTTTGACTGCATGTGTGTATATGTAGAGTGTATGTACTTGGTTCTTGGGGAGGTCAGAACAGGCTGTCAGATCCTGCGGAACTGAAGTTACATATGGTTGTGGGCCACCTTGTGGGTACAGAACCTGGGTGTTCCTCAAGAACAGCTAGTGCTCTTCACCTCTGAGCCATCTCGCCAGCCCCTTGACTAGTGTTTTAAAATGTATTTATTCTAAAAGCATTAAAATAATGTTTCTGCTCAATTCCACTGTGATCAGAGCACAATCTACAAGATAGCAATAGTTGATATTTATTGAGATTCTGTTTGTGGGTAGGTTTGGGATCATTTTAAAAAATGAAATAACTGTTCCATGTATCTTTGGAAAGAACCCCCTGTTCCTATTTATTAGGTACAGAATTCTACATGTGTTGAGTGGATGAAGCTTTTTTAATTGTATTGCTCCATTTGATAAACTCTTTACTAGGTTTTCAGTTCGTAAGTGTATTCTCTTAAATCTACTATTTCATTTGAACTGGCCACAGATCTAGAATTGCCATAGTTTTAAATTCACCACTGATCTTGAACTTTTCATTCTAGGTTCATGCTTTAAATATCCTCAGAGCCCTGTTCAGAGATACACGTCTGGGAGAAAACATTATTCCTTTTGTTGCTGATGGAGCTAAGGCTGCAATTCTGGGCTTCACATCACCTGTCTGGGCAGTGAGTGTTCTTGCCATTTGTGCCCATTGAGTTAATTATGTTTTTGAATAATAGGTTTTTGATAAGTTGACCTTTCCCTGATGACAAAATATATATGCTGCATTTTATCAACTAATTTCTTCAGGGGATAAGTTTTTTGATCAGACTACATTTTGTTCCTTTATTTTATGGTTCTGTGTTAGCTAAGGTTTCTGTTGCTGTGAAGAGAGACTATGGCTACAGCAACTCTTATAAAGGAAAATATTTAATTGGGGCTGGCTTACAGTGTCAGACGTTTAGTCCATTATCATCATGGCGGGAAGCATGGCAGCACACAGGCAGACATGGTGCTGGAGAAGGAGCTGAGGGTTCTACATCTTGATCCACAGGCAGGAGAAGGACACAGTGAGCCACACTGAGCATAGCTTGAACATATGAAACCTCAAAGCCCGACCCCACAGTGACATGCTTCCTCAAACAAGGCTGCACCTATTCCAACAAGACCACATCTCCTAATAGTGCCACTCCCTATGTCCTATGGGGGCCATTTTATTCAACCACCACAGGTTCCATTTTATCTCCTTTGTTGATTTATCATTAGTAGCGGTTTTATTTTGTGGTTGCTTTGGCATTTGTGTATCTTACGCCGTATAAAGTGTAAGAACTTGTTAATAGTATGCTTCTATTTATCTCAGTCTTTGGGCTGTTACCGCTTTACATTTTTCTTTGCTGTATATAGTGACTCGCCACTATATACAGGTTGTTATATATAACAACACCATATATGAGGTTGTTACTTCTTCTCTTTAAATGGTCCATTATCATTCTTTTTAGTTTACCACTTGAGCCGTTTTGAAGTATACACAACACAGTGGCATCAAGTACAATGGTGTTATCACTATTGCATATTTCTGAACTTTCACCACCAACAGAAGGGTCTTCACCTGTTCACTGACTCCTCAGCTTCCTTCTTTCAGCCCTTGTGCCTGTTGCTATGATTGCTCTCCGTGGATTTGTCTGGCCTAACACGTCAAATAAGTAGAATCATAAAATATACGTCCCTTCGCAATTGGTATGTTTCAGGGATGTTGTAGCATGGATCAGAATTTCAGTACTTTCTAAGGTTGAATAGTATTTCTAAGGTTGAATAGTATTCCGGTATACCAGTGTACTATTTTTCCTTATTCTATTGATAAGATGATAGACTCTGAGATTGTTTCCAAGTTTTTAATTATGAATGATGCAGCAATAAATACTTGTATACCGGTTCTCTGAATCCCTACTCTTAATTTGTTTGGGTCTATCACATAGTAATTCTGCTTCACATTTGAGGAACCTGTTTCCTACAGTGGCAGAGTCGTTTACGTTCACGTCAGCCATGCACAAGAGCTACAGTCTCCCCACATCATCACCAACAGTTATTATTTTCCTTTTGTTTAATGATAGCCCATCCTAGTAAGTGTGAAATAGAATTCTAGGCTGGTTTTTGAAAAAAACCTTCAGACTTGTTTATTTATTTTTTATATGTATTAGTGTTTTGCCTTCACTTATATATGTGTACCACCTAACATGCCTGATGTCTGCAGAGGTCAGAATAGGGCATTGGATTCCCTAGAAGTGGAGTTACATGGTTGTGAGCAACCATGTGGGAAGATGGGAACCAAACCCAGCTCCTCTGCAAGAGCAACAAAGTTCTTACCTACAGACCCTCCCATTCTGGATTTGATTTGCATTTCCAGAGTGACTAGTGATACTGGTCTAGAAGCAGAACAATTCTTAGTATCTTAATGCATCTTCCAGAGTCTGTGGATTCCTTTATCCAAGATGTGTTGTGTCTTTAGCAGTAGAGTCTTACCATCTAGTTCTGGTGGACAACCAAGAACAATGGCACTAGCCTTTGTTGTCTTGGGGGCTTCTGGAACTCCCTGACCAACAGCACATCGGAAGCTATCCCATATCTGGCACTGAGATCTTAATAACTCATGTATTCTGGGAGAGGAACTGTCTTCCCATGCAGGGTTACTGTACTCAAATTCCTTTAAAAAGTTATTACTATATTTTAAAAGTTAGCTTCGAAAAGAATGGGTTTCCCTAAGGGTTTTTCATACATCTTTGGATTTGGTTAAGCCATCCACCACCTTCTTTCCCCTGCTTCTCTCCACCCTCTTCGTGCTGTGAGTATGAAGTATCCCCCATAGGCCCATGTGTTTGAACACTTGGTCTGCAGCTTGTGACGCTGTTGGGAAGATTGTGAAACTTTTCAGGTGTAGAGCCTTTGAAGAAGTGGTCACTGGGCAGGTCCTGAAGCGTTCGTTATTGCCCCGCCCCACTTCCTACTCACTCTTTGCCTCCTGACTCTGTACACAGTGTGAGTCACCAGTTTCCCGCTCGGCCACCTGCCTTCGGTACCATGATGCAACTGTGCACCAGAGCAAGCACTTCCTTCCTTGATTGCCTCTTGTCAGGTGTTTTGTGGTAACAGTAGGAAAGTGAGTAATGTAGCCCCTGTTTGATACTGTGTTCAAATGACCAAACTGTAGCAGGTACACACCTATAATCCCAGAGAAGCTGAGGCAAGAGCATAGCAAAGTTCCAGCCCGGCTTGGCCTACATAGCAAGAGCCTGTCTTGTAAAACAGCAACAAAAATGGCAGCTAGGGTTATGGACCAATAGCAGAACACTTGCCTAGCATGCATGGGTAAGGCCCTGGGTTTTAAATAAAGAATATTTAAAACTCAGTAAGAAAACGACTCCCCATTTAAAAGGGGTACATAGTGAATCTGAATACATTTCTCTAAAGAAGATATTGAAATGACCAGTAGACAAATAGAAAGATATTTAATAACATTTGTCATTAGGGATATAAAAATCAAAACCACCCATTAGAATTTTTTAAAAAGGACATTAACAACTGCTGAGATAATCCAGGTCTGACCTGGGGCAGAGACAGTACTGGTGACAGACAAGATGGATGACTTGCTGGTTGGAGACATTCGGCAGGGCCATGACAGGGCTTCGTTATTTGTTGACTGTTGATTGAATATAAGGAGATCTCTGTCCAGTTGGGGGGTTATGCTGTGAATGGTGCTGATATATCCATAAAGTCCATTTTCAAGGGTATTGTGAATGAACTGGCCATCTGAGCTTCTAGAGGAGAGGTTGTGGTGGGTGGCCATAGGACAGATGTGGTCTGCTGCTGTGTTTTATTTGGCTTCCATGGTGATTCCTCCCTTTTCTTTAATTTGTTGCCAGCATTTCCAAATAGTGAGATTTCACATAAAAATCAGGGTTTCTGGCTTCTCTTGAAAGAAACAGAAGATCTGGCTGGTAGTAGCGGCCACCAGTCAGCCTAAGCTGGATAGTGAGTGCCCTGGACACAGTGCACTGATGTCTTTGTTGTCACTGTCCTAGGCGTTTGAGTGTGTGGCCATTACTGCAACAGTTTCAGAAAGTTGTTTTCTAAATCTTTCATTGTTATTTTCTTTTTAGAAATTTATTACATTTATGTGCGCGTGCATGTATAAATGTATGGGTCATGTGTGACAGTCAGTTACAAGGTAACTTGTGTGAGTCAGTTTTTTCCTTCTACCATATAGGTATGTAACTCAGGTCATCAGGCTTGGTGGCAAGTGCCTTTACCTGTTGAGCCTTCTTCTTGGCTCACATTCTTAGTTTTGATGACCTTTCAGCTTATATTACTAGTTGAAATATATTATGATGAGGATACCTATCCAGTTAGAATATAGATTCTGTCGTAGCAGTTTTTAATTTCTGATTCTGAATATTCTCCAGGGTTCTGGTATAATTCAGTGTACACTGATTTGACAAGATAATTCAGGAAGGATGATAAAGTTAGGATAGTCACAATTTCTACGTGATTCTGTACCTTGACATGCTTTGTTAGTAAAGATTGGCTCTGTTAGTATTGTGGAGAAATGATTATAGTTTATTCATAATAATTTTCCTTTATTAAAAAGATTTATTTGTTTTGTTTTTCCCATGTGAGTGTTTTGCCTGTGTGCTTGTAAGTGCACCGTATGCATGCCTGGTTCCCGAGGAGGTCAAAAGAGGTCACTGGATCTTCTAAAACTGGAGAGGTGTATGATTGTAAGCCATCACTTGGGTTCTGGGAACCAAACATGGGTCCTCTGCAAGAATAGCCAGTCCTTTTAACTGCTGAGCCATGTCTCCAGCCTGATTTTTTTTTTCTTCTTTCTTTTTGAGACTGTCTCATTGAATAGTCCTGACTGGCTTGCGACTCATGATTCTCCTGGTTTGGTCTCCCAAGTGCTGGGATTACAGGCTTGTGCTGCCATGACTGGGTGTCTTGCTTCATTTTTATTAATCAGTTATCACAAAATAATTTCATAGCTAAAATTACTTGAGTTGGTTACTGGCATTGTAAGATTAATAAACAACATCTTGAGTATTAACTGATGTCTTGGCTGTTTTAATTACATGGATTCTATAAAGTTAAATATCACAAGTATTTTTCACAGGGAAAAGGAGAAGTTGAGGTTTCTCAGAATGTTCATCATCGGAATGTGGGGAAAGAAGTCTGCATCATTTTTTAGAAGCATACAAGTATATGATGAAACAATTAATAATATTAGAAAAAGCTGTTGTATGCATACGGTTGAACTGTGCAGCTGGTTCAGTTTCAGGGGAAGTCATAGAGTGGATTATCAGAAAGTTGGTTTTTTTTTTCTCATTTGCCTTATTTTATGAACACAAACCTTACTTTCTTTAGCTCTCCCCTGCCACTTAGGAAATGAGTTTTAAATATCTAGCTTAAACATTATTAATGTTGGTTTCATGCCGTGACTATCTCTTAATTCTTATTTTATGTTTATTTTTACATTAGGTGAGAAATTCATCCACACTTCTCTTTAGTTCCTTGATCACAAGAATCTTTGGAGTTAAAAGGGGAAAGGATGAACTTTCCAAAACAAACCGGTAAGCTCCGCCAGCCTCACCTTCACAGCACTGTCAGCTAGAGGGAGGCCGAACTCACAGACTCATGGTGATCCAAGACTGGAAAGACACTATAGTGACTTCCAATGCCCCGAGTCCTTGGGCAGGTCAGCTCCTCAGTAGGGCAGGGTTGGAAGGGCAAAAATGCAGACTGACCTCAGTACAGTGAGCAGAGATTTTTGTCTTTCCTTGTTACCGTCTCCAAATATTCCGAGGGTGCCCCCATGACCTTTTCTGGACATGTATAAGTACCGTGCAGCGTGCTCTCTGGGCTTGTGCAGGTAGAAATGCAACCCTCTTTGTGTTCTGCTCAGCAGTGCTTGTCCCTGATTCCTGTTTTAGTGGAGTACTTAGAGACTCAGTCACTTAGAAGAAACAGTTTTGGCTTTTTGGAATTTACACTCTGACATATTTTTTCTTAACAAGATATCTTTGTTGAACCTAGGAAACCATTTTGATTATGGAGATTTCAATGCGATGTACAAGTTGTATCTGTTTCTAAAGAAAAGAGGCTCTTAAGTAGAGTTGTTCAGCTCTTAAGATGATTTAAAGCTAGTCCCGTTGGATTACAGTTGCTAACACTAGATGTCAGTGTTGTTGCATGCTCAGTTGCTCCCTCACCGTGTAGGATCCAATTTTGTTGGTCTTTCTCTGGAGGACCTAGATGTAAATCCAGGCCCAGTTTTCCCTCCCACCTAAAAAGGTCGCTATACTCCAAATTTCTTTTAGGCTTAATGCCTACGGAATATATTTTCTTGTGATGGAACTAAGTCTTAGGAATTCAAAAGTGTTCTAGACACTATGGCACATCCCTGCTAGAGTGGCTGAGATAGGAGGAGCATTTGGAATCCGAGATCATATGATGAGTTTGAGGCTAGCCTGGGCTACAGAGTGAACTTGTCTACAAAAAAAAAGTCATGAAATATGCTATGCTAGCAGTGAAACAGTGTGGTAATTCTGAATTTTAATTTAAATAGCTACTTATCACCCTGTAAAATTCACCAAATATTTAAAAGGAAAGTAACTGGGTGTGAGTATGAATTTCCCAAGAATTTGATGAAAATACTAGACTACTATATTTTATTTTTTAATTTATCGGTGTGCATCTGTCTATGTGAGTGTTTCTATACGTCTGTGCAGTGCCCACAGAGACTAGAGAGGGCATCAGATCCATTGCAGCTGGAGTTACAGGTGTTTGTGAGCCACCTGATGTGATTTCTGGGACCTGAACTCTGGTTCACACAATTGAGCTGCAAGTGCTTTTAATTGTTGAGCCATCTCTCTAGTTTTTATGTTGTTTTAAAAACTGAGTTTTATTTTTAAAATAAAACATTGATTGTTTGAAAGGATGATTATAATTTTTGCTTTTCTTAAAGTAATCTGCCCATTTGGTAATATAAAATGACTGATGCTATTTCTCTTCAGTTTTGTGTACTTTGGTAATAATTCTAAAGTGTCCTAAGGTTTCACACAATTCAGTCTGCTCATTAAACCATGATTAGCAGTGATATGAACTGAGCCTGAGGGTACAAGCCTGTAACCCCAGTACTTGGAATATAGGTGTAGCAGCTTCCGGAGTTGAAAGTCACCCTGGGCTGTCTAGGTAGGTTGGAGCCAGCCTGGGCTATATGATGAGACTTTGTCTTGGGAAAGCAAAAATAAGTAAATTGATTCTTCTTATAGTTGTTGTGAAGTGATTGTTGGATGTTACATATAAGTTTTACACTCTGCAGGAGAAATGATTTCATTTAGGTTGAAAGAGGTGGGAGAATAGGGTCGTGAGAGATACACATGGTTTTCATCTTTTTGCCGAAGTTATACTGATGGAGACACCTACTGTCCGTTCATTCTCTTTGAACGGGAGAGCTGGGAATGACAACGTTCCTGGAAAGGGGCAAGTGAGTGGTTTTAGAATGAGTTTGAGTGCAATTGAAAAGTGCATGGAGGAAGTTGGAAATGGATTATTTAAATTGATGACCACTTTTGGTAAGAGCCTTTATTTTGGTAATCTGAGGGTTTGTCTGCGCCATCTTATACAGGCTTCTGCTTCTTGACTGGAAAGTGACTCAGCTCTCATTTGGACTTGCTCGCTAAAACTTTTACTGATGCAAATTTACAGCAAGTCTTCTGCTTTTCTGCTGTATTTAGTTATGTTACCCTTTGTTGAAATGCTTATTTGCTCATTCTTATAATACTAAGTTCCCAAGGGCAGGGCCTTTTCCATCTATTTTATATATTTTATATATATATAAAATGGGGCCCCTTAAGAATACTGGAAGTAGCCGGGCAGTGATGCACACCTTTAATCCCAGCACTCGGGAGGCAGAGCCAGGTGACTCTCTATAAGTTCAAGGCTAGCCTCATCTACAGAGCGAGATCCAGGACAGGCACCAAAACTACACAGAGAAACCCTGTCTCGGAAAAAAAAAAAAAAATTCTGAAAGTTATGACTTGTACATTGTCTATTTTGGGGGCCATCAAATAACTAATCTCACCTGGTAACATTTCTCAGGATGTTACTGTCCTGCCCAGAGACCTGCAGATGTGTGCTATTGGTCATGAATGAGTTGATGGGAAAAGAACATGTGCCTTTTCAATCAGCTGTGGAAACCATGTCTCTTGGAGTAAACAGCTTGGTTTCTAGGTTTTCTGTTGCCCCTGGAGATCACTTTAATAGACTCCTTTAGCTACTCTGCATTTCAGTTTCTTCACCATCGTCCCAGAAATAAGACCTAGACTCATGTCCTCATGGGGTTATTGTCAGCACAGAACTAACTGTGGCTGTCTTTTTATGACAATGTTGGAGTCCTCCACAGAGACGAATCTGCTCTTTTCTTCCGTTACTGCTCTGTCATCCTTATTGTCCACGGGGTTGCTGTTAGATGATAGTGTTTGAGAAAAGCAGGATCAGTATCTTGACATTCTTTGTGTAGCTGATGCCTCACATACTGCCTTGCATGTAGGAGACTCACAGACATACTTGCTTAATAAATAAAGCAATTTTTGATGCTAAACAAGGGAATCAGAAAACTGGCTTCTCCTGCCTTTATCCCAGATGGCTGCAGTAATTGAAAAAAGTTAGCTGTCCTCTCTGTATCTTGAGTTTCTCTCCTATAAAATGAGGGTTCTTGGAGCAGCCCTGAGGTCCTAAAATACTGAGCTCGAGCTTTCCATAAGTTCCTAGAATTGCAACCTTGGTTAAGTGTTGTATTCCTTGTGCATCGACTAATGCCTGCCACATAGTAGGGTAAAAAAAAAAAAAAATTACTTTCATGCATAAAGAAGTGATCAGGGGTCCATCTCCCTCTGTAAATTTATTAAAACAAATGTTCTTTTGAGCCAGTTGGCCTTGTTTTAGATGTGTTCTTTACATTATGAAGAATTAATGTTTTATTTGTGTTTTAAACCATGCATCTGAAGGATGTCTTGTATTGTTTTTGGTTCTAAACTGTTACAAATAACCTGTGAGGTGCATTCATGTTTATATATATAATTTTTTATGATCACAGAGTTTCACTACCCTGGAATGAGTGGCTAGGAGTCTTTGAATTTAAATTTATTTATTTATTTATTTATTTTGTTTTGGTTTGGTTTGGTTTGGTTTTTCGAGACAGGGTTTCTCTGTGTAGCTTTGCTCCTTTCCTGGAACTCACTTGGTAGTCCAGGCTGGCCTCGAACTCACAGAGATCCGCCTGGCTCTGCCTCCCAAGTGCTGGGATTAAAGGCGTGCGCCACCACTGCCCGGCAAATTTAAATTTATTTTATATTATGTGTATGGGTAAACCTGCATATGTGTCTGTGCAACATGCGCGTGCATTACCCATAGAGGCCAGAAGAGGGCGTCCTGTTGAATTGAACTTACAGGTGGTTGTTAGCTGCCCTGTGGGTACTGGTAATTGAATCCAGGTCCTCTGGATGAGCAGCCAATCCCCTTAATCACCAAGCCAACTCTCTAGCCCCCTACTTGCATGTTCTTAAATAATATTATTATATTAAGACTTTCTAAAACTCTTTTCCATTATGTTTCTTGTCATCTAACAAACTTATAATGTGGCCTGACTGAGAGGTTCTGTGATGTGTAGGCTGTGCTGTGCTTTCTAACACAGCCCCCATCTGCATGGAGGGCTTTGCCTTGATGACTTCTCATTCCTTACAGCAGGAGCAAAATATTTGTGGCCTTTGGGTCTTTCCCTATTTTAATCCCTGTGTGAATTAGCCTTCAGGTAGCTGGGTTCGAGCTCTGTGACCAGTCAGTATATAGCAGTCTGAAAAGCCTGATTTTTGGCCGTATGACATTCATGTGCTGTGTAGAGTAACAGAATGAATCAGGACAGCTTTTGCACTCCTCTGTTCTAGTACTGAGCTCACAGCAAGCACCTCCTGTGACTCAGTACTACAGGGAGAGGAGCATTGAGGGTCTGTAACCTGCCCAGAATCACGGAGCTCGCAGTCAGCTGGGGAGACAAGGATCGATACTGTGAATCAGGTGAAATAGAAAACACTGTTGCCCGCACAACACGATACCAGTAGTGAAATCGTTTCTTAAAAGACATGGTGGATGAGTAGACTTGGGCTACATGAGAGGAAGTCTAAAAAGGAAAAGACTTGCTTTCCTGTTGCTATGTACAGTTTGTGCTCTGTCTCACTGAAGGGAAGCTCGTGTCCCAACAGTGTAGGGAGATTTTGTACAATTTAAGAAGAAAATGTGTCTGCAAAAGCTTTATTAGACCCAAGTAAAGTGATTCCAGGGACTGTGTGTGCAGATGTTACAGTGACTTCACTTTCTGGGCTGTAAATGACAGCACCATTTTAGTCGTTTGTCTTATCATCTTGGTGCCCAGGCTAGCCAGCATCTTCCCCAGCCCCGCGGCCTGCTCACAGGAAGACTGAAGCAGTTTCCAGACAGAACGGCTGCTTTTCTCCTGGTTTCATGATTTCTAGGAAAATAGATTCCACAAATTTCTGTGGTTACCCACTCCATT